TTCAACTTTGGTCAATTTGGACCGGCTCATGCCTTATAGGGTTAAACCCGTCGTCTTGGAGTTTGCCCCGAAGACTCGAAAAAGGGATGTAACGGTGAAGCACCGCGACTACAACCCACCCTTCTGCTTAGAAAACGTTTTTTGGGGGTGGGGGGAGATTTTTCTTTCTATTTTGCGGTTTTTAGGCCTTTTACTACAACTTATTCTTCACTATGGCAATTTTTAGCTTATTTTCGTCATAAAAGACCCTCTAGCGCCTAAACGGTTAGAGATAGAGCAAAACGGACGAAATTTTCGCCCCAAGCACTGTACCTTCACGAGATAACCTTCCGGGAACATTGAAAAATTTACTTTTTGGAAGAATTTTTGAACCTCGGATAACCCCCATTCACATCCTTAGGAGTGGTTGCCGGGATTTGCCGTAGGCGTTTTGTTCTCTAGAAGTGGACCTTAAGGTAACCTGAAAATTTCAAGTCTCTAACACATCTCCTTCTAGTGGAACAGACAGACACACAGACAGACAGACAGACAGACACGAGGTCGTTTGCATAAGCCCGCTGGATAGCTTTTTCAAAGAAGAAGGGCGGGCTAAAAAATGATAACTAATCGACTTTTGTGGTTTCTGATGCTTTATTAATGAGTATACTCTAAAAAATAATACAGAATTCTGTATCAAATTTGATACAGAATTCTGTATCAGCCTCTTGTGATATGGAAACATGTAACATGGGTACAAAATTCTGTAATCTGATCAAAATGTTACAAAATTCCGTAAACGTTACTAATTTCTGTAACAGATACATGATCAAGTAACGTTGGATACAATTTTCTGTAACCTTCGATAAAGAATTATGGAACTTCGTTGGCACGGTCCTCGGCAGCCCCGGTAGCATTACACCGGGTTCCAGCGAACCTCCCCTCAGGTAGCCTAGTTGGCCGCGCGGGTAAAGGCGCGACTCCCTATTCCGAGGGTCTGGGGTTCAACTCCCGGTACGGCAAGGTACATTACTTGAAATGAAATCGAAGGACTTAAGTACCATAGAAAAAAGAAGAGGGGGAAAGGGAGGAAGAGTAACAAAATGAAGAATTACGATTTTAAAATCCCAAAGATGTTCTGTATCAGGTGATACAGATTTTCGTATCCATGATACAGATTGAAATCTGTTTCAAAAATGATACAAATTTCTGTAACATGTGATATGTTAATTACTGCGTAACAATGATACAGAATTTTGTACTGATTTTTTTTAGAGTGAACTGAGGCAATATCGAGTGGCATAGTTCTGAATATAGATTCACTCAAAAAAAAATCAGTGCAAAATTTTGTAACATTAAAGGGAAGTTTTTTCAGTAACCAGATTACAAATTTTTGTAACATAATTTGTTACAAAATTTTGTAACATTGGGTTATAAGTATTTGCATCTACAT